TACAGGCGCCCACCATCGTGCCCAGCTGAGTTTTGTATTTTTAGTAGAGATGGGGTTTCGACATCTTGGCCAGGCTGGTCTCGAACTCCTGACCTTGAGATCCATCCGCCTCAGCCTCCCAAAGTGTTGGGATTGTAGGCGTGAGCCACCGCGCCCAGCCGTGGCTGGTTATTTAAGAACAACTTAATACTTCCAATATATAAAAAAGTCTTATTTTGTAATTTAAGGATTGATGATTATGTCTGGAAATACTTTGTATTTTGTCTTTGGGGTATGTTACAAGGACCAGGCAGAAGGCTAATTTCAGAAACTCAAAATATCAAGTTTGGGAGGCTATATTCCATATCTCCTTTACGTCATAAGGACTCTTCTACATCCTCATGCAGACGCCATTACTATCTAAACAACTCTGCATTTGGACGGCTGTACTCCAGGGCTCTCCCTTTTGTGTGTGGATAGAGGATAAGGATTTAAGCTTCAGAAGGGCACGTACTCATGATGAGGTAGTGAGGGGAGTAAGAGGGAGAGAGGGGAAAACGTGCATTGTTTTGGTCCACATTTGGGATTTATAATTCCTTTCTTCAGCTAGGCTCAACTCTTACAGACAGTGCAAAATTTGTTCCAGCGACAAGGAGTTGTATCCCACAGGGCACAGAGCAACAGCCTTCGCACCACTCAGCCCCCGCGTCCCTTTCCCAGTCCAGAGCTTCCCTCCCCGGCTCCTCGGCACGAACTTCAGCGACTCTATTGCTTCTTTCTTCCCTTCCCCTAGAGAGGCGGGACGCCTAGTCACATCCCCCCTCGGCTAAACCCCGAACAGATCAGCAGGCGCGGAACTCCCACAACCCGCGTGGATTCCAAAACAGGAAGCACAAACATGACCCCGAAAACGCACCATGTCCTCTGGCCGGAAAACGCAGACTCCCGCCACTCTCTCTGGGCATGCGCGAAGCCAAGGGCAAGAGGGAGGCGACCGGCAGGCGGCTCTAAAGTTACCGGAAGAACTGGGCAGTCTCTTCTCGCGAGAAAGGGAGGGGTCGCAGGCCCTGGCGCTGGGAGCGTTACCAGGGAAACAGGTCTTGGTTTTGTGGCTCCCACTCAGCTGCGGGTGAAAGCTAAGCAGCAAAATTCAGAGAACCCGCAGTAAAAATAATTATAACGAGCCGAATTTTGTATCTATTAATATAATTTTAGCTTCCGTAGGGCATTTATAGACTCACATGTGTAAACTGATCAAGTAGGGTGGCTCACCGTAGGATAGAGTGGCATGATAAAGTGGCCAGACACCATCAGTAACAAAGCATTTCTTTCTTTCCCCTATGCTAAAACATCTGTGTCAAGAGTTCTGACCCCATGTAAAGTCTTTTTTTTTTTTTTGTTTGAGACGGGTTTTTGCCACGTTGGCCAGTCTGGCCTCTTATCTCCTAACCTCAAGGGATCCTCCCGCCTCAGCCTCCCAAACGCCTGCTGGCCTCCCACCGCCTTTTGGGATTACAGGCATGAGCCACGGCGCCAGCCTGAATTCTTAAATAATCTGTTTAGTAGGGTGCAGCAGTAACAAGCACACCCAAAATTTGTTTTATTGAAGTTGCTGGTGGTTTTGAGATTAAAAATAATAACAACACGTTTTTCTATGTATTTTCTGGAAGAGCTTCTCATCCTGAGGAAAAGGTTGGGCTTTGTTTCATTTAGCACAAGTGTGCCGCTCAGCGAGGTGCAGGGATATAGAAAATAAGAGCCCCCTGGTTACTACCCAGAGGAGCTCAACCCCAGCGGAGGCCCAAAGATGCATTTCGAAGGCAGGTGAGGTGGTGCAGTGCGCCCCAAGGGGGCACGTACAGCCCAGCCCCAGGTTTCGCGAGCCTCCTGGAGGAGATGACGCGTTCGAGAGTCAACAGCCAGAATCCCAGGACCTGGGGATTTGTTCTGAAGTGTGCCTCTAATAAAAACATTAAACCATGTCACAATAAGCTACTGGATTATTACATCATGCATGCCCAATGGCCAAAGTTTTTCCTAAAATGATCGTAAGGTTAATACCGCGTGGTATTGTATATTAATGAAAACCGGCAGGTACCCTGTGCTCTTACAGAGCTAACTTTTTTAGTTAAGTTTTATCATTTTTAGATTGCTTTAGCAGCAATGTAGTTTTGCTCTAGTTTTAGATTTAGAGATGAACTAACTTGAAAATTGTTCAAAGTGAAAGGGCTCAAGGTACAGTCAAAATTAGAATACCAACCGGGTGTGGTGGCTCACGCCTGTAATCCAAACACTTTGGGAGGCCGAGGCGGGTGGATCACGAGGTTAGGAGATGGAGACCATCCTGGCTAACACGCTGAATCCCCGCCTCTACTAAAAATACAAAAAATTAGTCGGGCGTGGTGGCGCGCGCCTGTAATCCCTACTCTGGAGGCTGAGGCAGGAGAATTACTTGAGCCTGGGAAGCCGAGGTTGCGGTGAGCCGAGATGGTGCCACTGCATTCCAGTCTGGCCGACAGAGTGAGACCCTGTTAAAAAAAATAATAATAATAATAATTAGAATACCAGGTTCCCACCTGCTCCCTATGTGACTTTCCTAAGAAGAAATTGTATGCATTTGACATAGTTCATAGTAGTTCATAACGGGCACATCTGTGTTTTTCCCTCTTCATGTAATCTATAAACTGTTGTGTGCATTTATTCAAGGCTTAAAAAAGAACACTACTGACCAAATGACAGTGAGTATTATGTATTAGGGCTGCCATAACGAAACATTATAGACAGGTGGCTTAAACAACAGAAATTATTATTTTTTAAATAATATTTTTTAAATTATTATTTTTTCATAATTTTGGAGGCTGGAAGTCTAAGATCAAATTGTCAGCAGGGTTCGTTTCTCCTGAGGCAGATCTCCTTGCAGACGGCCACCTTGTATTGTGACCTTGATTTCTGTGCTTGTGAATCCTTGCTGTCTTCTTATAAGGATACCAGTTGTGTTGGATTAGGGCCCTACCCTTATGACCTCATTTAATTTTAATTACCTCCTTAAAGGCCTCATCTCCAAATAGAGTCACACTGGAGGTAAGGGCTTCAACGTATGAATTTTAGGGAACACAGTTCAATCAGTAATACATTAGAACTGTCTACGATAATTTGCAATGGCATGATACATATAAAAGAGTCTGAATTAAAATGAGTGGATACAATAAACACTTAGATGTAAAGATAGGAAAATATAGTATATACAAGTTTTAGGGAAAAAAAATTAAGGCAGAATGCACCATATTGAGGTATGGGGGAAAATACCGTAAACATTCACAGAAGTAATTTGAATAAGCCTTCCACAAACTTAGAAATCCAAGAAGCATTTGTCAGTTCCTAGAACAGTTGCTTATTATATGTCATAATAAGTTGCCAAGGAAATTATCATACATCATAGAGGGAGTGAAGTAGTTCCCAGTCATCTTTATCCCTTTGAGCGTGGTTTATTTTTTGAGCAAGCAGCCATCATGGGAGACCTTTTTTCCTTATTTTGGGAGGTAGATCCTCCCCCCATACCTTTAAATTGTGCCATTCCAAATCAGGATTATGAATGCCGGAAGGATGACTCTTGTGGGACCATAGGGAACTTCCTGCTTTGGTATTTTGTCATTGTATTTGTCCTGATGTTCTTCTCTAGGGCTTCTGTCTGGGTAGGATATCTTTTTTTTTTCATTTTAAATAATATGTTTACTGTATACTAGAAAATTTCCATAAAATACATTTACTATACTTTGATGAAACTACTTTTAAAAGTTGTTTAGTTTTAAAAAGAATGCAATCTTATTCTGCAGAATCCGGGAATATGGAAAAGGATGAAGAGGAAAATATAAAGCTACAGTTATCCTCTTTCCCAGAGATAACCACTGTTAACATTTTGGAGTATGTTCTTCCAGTTTGTTTTTTTCTTCTCTCTCTATCCCAATATATCTCTCCCCATTTCTCTGTCTTTGATCTTACATGGTTGGCATTATATTGCATATATTTTCATATCCTGCTTTTTAAGCTTAATAATATATCGGAAATACTTCTATAAATTATATTCACTCAGCAGCACTTTTAATGACTGCATAATTTTCTGTCTTTTGATTGCACCAAAAAATTCTGCAAGTTTGAAACATTCAGATTGTTTACAGTTTATCCATATGCTATGTAATGCTGGCATAAACCTCCCTGCTGGTTAATGACTTCCAAATCCCTTTTCTAGCCATGTGATTCTAATCAAAGATACAAAAGTTGTCATATTGATAGGATACATGCTGTAGGATTTTGGGGTTTTTAGAATGAGGCAATACACTTTCTGCATAGAATAAGATGCAGAGCTAGACTAAACAGAACTAAAGTCACCACTAAAATGCCATCGTCTTAAGAATGAGATATCCTACTTTATCAGGAATGTGATGCTTCCAACATATTATGAGTAACTAAGCTCTTCTTTTTTTTTTTCTTGAGATGGAGTCTCGCTGTATCACCCAGGCTGGAGTGAAGTGGTGCAATCTTGGCTCACTACAACCTCTGCCTCCCGGATTCAAGTGATTCTCCTGCCTCAGCCTCCCTAGTAGCTGGGACCACAGGTGCAAGCCACCACGCCCTGCTTATTTTTGTATTTTTAGTACAGATGGGGTTTCACTATGTTGGCCAGGCTGGTCTCAAACTCCTGACCTCAAGTGATCTGCCCGCTTTGGCCTCCCAAAGTGCTGGGATTACAGGCATGAGCCATCACGCCCAGCGGTAACCTAGCTCTTATAATTCGCTGACATGATATCCTTGCTGGTCATTAATACCAGGCTGATGATTAAGAAAACCACCATCAAGTAGCATTATAGCCAGAGCCCTGTGCTGGCAGTGGTCAGTAAGACTTAGTGCTCTATGAGCTCTGGATGGGGTGGAGAAGGTTTGTTATGTCCATGCCAGCTGGATTCTATTCTAATAATCAAAGACTTTTTGATAACCACCACCTCCTGGTGAAGAAGAGCTTTCATCTAAAGTCTAAATGCTTCTTAAGGTAAATACTTTGCCAAAAGGAGATTTAGAATAGTGATAACTTATATGTGTCTTAGACTCCCTAGCTAAGTATATTGAATTTGTCTGGCCTGGCAAGCAAAGCTACTTTAGAAAATTAACAAAAAAATTGAAATTGATCACTGGCAATTTCATCATGAATTAAGAGGTCTAAGCTATTTTTTTTTTTTTTTCTTTTTGAGACGGAGTCTCGCCCTGTCGCCCAGGCTGGAGTGCAATGGCACGATCTCGGCTCACTGCAACCTGTGCCTCCGGGGTTCAGGCGATTCTCCTGCCTCAGCCTCCTGAGTATCTGGGATTACAGGCGTGCGCCTCCACGCCCAGCTAATTTTTGTATTTTTAGTAGAGATGGAGTTTCACCATGTTGGCCAGGCTGGTCTCAAACTCCTGACCTTGTGATCCACCCGCCTCAGCCTCCCAAAGTGCTGGGATTACAGGTATGAGCCACTGCGCCTGGCCCAGTCTAAGCTATTTTTCTGCTCCCTTGCTTGCATCAGCTCTTGGGAGTCATACAGCCTTGAGCTTCCAGGACCTCAAGAGAGCATGTGGTCCAGCCTCCTGTTTGTAGGCAAGTAAGTTATCATTATCCCTCCCCCACCCATTTTTTATTGATAAGGCCCAATGAAATTAAGTGACTTGTCCAATGTCACAAAAGTGTTAGTGACAGAAGAGGAATATACCCAGATTTCCTGTCAAATTATTTGTTTGCATCAAAGCATAGTCTGAAATGTCCACTTAGATCTACTCAGTCCTGATTAAAACCTTAATTATGTTAGAGGTTTCGTCTTTCACTTTTTACCCTTGTGGCGGCTACAATCGGCTGGGCTGCTTCTTCTGAAGGCTCCCAGATTTGAAATCTGAGAACCATATGAGAGCTAGTAAAGGAGGATGGAATTTTTCCTTCACTTTGA